ATTTTTCCCCTTTATAAATCTGTGATAAATTAGTTATTCACAAGAGAGAATCAAAGCACACAGCAAAGGCTACTGGAAAATGTGTACAAGTAACAAATTGCCACAGAAAATAAATGTGTCCCTTAGTAATTGTTTGAGAGGAAGAATAGGGTGTGATCAGTTTAGGATTACAATATCCAATATGCTTGTGGTGCCCATGAGAATTGAAAATTTAGAGGAACCAGACAGGCAGCGATCCGGAGGGAGCGGTGGCTCTGCCAGTGCCCATTAGAGCAGCTGCTGCTGTGCTGGGACAGAGCTGGTGCTGCTGGCTGTGCTCCCTGGCAAAGCTGCCCACTGCCAGTGGCAGGGCTTTGCCCCCTCTGCCCACACCCAGGCACCCACCACACTTTCTCTTACATGTATATATTTATGCACAGCCTTCCAAATCCCCATTTTGCCCCAGCCGTGTTAAACTGACTTGAACCACACCCAGGCAGTTACCTGCAGGCTCGGAAAATGCTTGGATGTAAATGGGCTAAAACTGCTTCTGCTTCAAATTTAAGAAGCACTTCAAACCAGGCGAAGCTGATAAATTTAAAGCTGTGGTGCTGCGAGTAACACTGGGAAATGGAGCAGGTAAAATAAGTGTTTAGTGTTGTACTCAAATACCTTAGCTAAGGAGCAATTGTTATCAAAAGCAGAATCTTCCCACCACAATTTTACATAGCAGCTAAAATCAATCTAAACTTTAACCTCCTTTCCTCTCCCGAAAGCAAGTGGCAGTTTTGTTTTCTTTTTTAACCCTGAATGTATTTCATAATGATGCTGAGCATGGAATTAGGTATTTTACATGCATTACTGGTTGTTGGCAGCATACTTGCCTGTTGCAGGGAGGCATAAATTCTCCTGGTAAAATTGTAGCAACAGAGGAGTTGATGAAAAAAATTCCTGCTAATTTACACATGACCAAGATTTCAGCCTTGATCTGTAGGTGGAATGCAAAAGATGTTGCCTCTGAAGCCACATACGTGGTTATTGGTTACAGCACGCTGTCTTCTGTCCTCTGTAACACATAGGATATATAGACCTGGGGAGAACCTTCTCTAAACTCATGGGGTGTTTTTTTCCCATTGGAAAAATAAGTTGTTTTGAAGCTTGATAATTAGCAAGAGTGGCTTAGAAGTGGGAAGGAAATGGCTTTATCATTTGTGAAACATTTCAAAGTACAAGAAGAAACCAACCACGTATCTGCTTTGGAGTGAAGCCAAGTTTTTTTCAGTGCTTTCTATGGAAAAAAGAAAGAGTGAACACCCACTCCAAAATAGGAGCAGTTGAATGGTCAGGGAACATGTGTGGGCTGCAGCAGCCAGTCTTTGGCTATGAACTGAGAGACACATCTGATGAACAGGCTAGTGTGCCCCCCCACCTCCTTCACCCAGGAAAAACCCTCTGTCAGACAATTCTCAGCCAGATCAACTGGTATTCAACATTTTATTAACCACTGAGAAGCTAATCCTATTTTAAAAGACATTTTGAGTAACCCTTACAGGACCCAGTTCAAAGGTGAAGTTGCTATAACCTGTAACTTGTTATCCAGACAAACCAAGTGGTCAGTTCTCAGAGAACTCTCTTCTGATAAGTCCACCATTGTTGATCTCTGAAGCCTACTTATTTTTCTGTGTTCCAGTTTGTGCCCAATAAGGACCTCTATAAAAGAATATTAGCTGTAGCTATTGAACTAGTCTTTGTTTGACTCTTAAAATTTCTTCTTAATTTAGCTGTTTGACTTTTCTAGAATATCACAAGATGGAAGTAGGTTCTCTTTAATTATTTATTGATTTTCTTTTTGGCTTCCTTTCCTGTGCTAAGAATGTTGGTTTTAATGAATGAGCCTAAAATTCCTTCTGTTTGGCTTTTCTATGTGACAGAATTTCAGATGGCAGGTTAGTTTATTTGCTTTGACACTCTTACTGCTTCCTTTTTATCTTGACTTATTTAAAGGTTATAAGATATGAGCTGTGCAGACAAAATAGACTCAGGTGACAATTACTGAATGAATTTCAAGATTTATGCCTTATTCCCAAGGCTGGAACAAGGATATTTGTAAGAGCATTTGAAGCTCCAGGAAGAGGATTGTAGAAGACAGCTGTTTTGAGGCATGTTGGATGTATATAGTGCACAGGGCAAGTCCATCTGTGTAAGTAGTTAAAACTTTTTTTTATGGCCTCAGTTGAAGTCTATGGTGTAAAGCCCTGCAGCATCTAAGAGTTGTCTGAATGCCTGCTGTTACATGTTTCAGGTTAGTGTCCATTCTCCGGCCTGCTTTCAAGAATAAAATGAAATGTCTGGTAACTCTGTCTTTATGAAGAAGCTGTGACGAGTGATTTTAACTTTTAGAACTTAAAAATAGTTTAATTCATTTGAGTGAAAATATTCATCCTATATAAGAGAATCCTCACAAACTCAGCTTTTCATAGCCTGGTAGTTGTAAATTTTCTCTTGGTATAAATGAGGATAAATTTCAGAAATATCTGTAGTACTTTCTTCAGTGGAGCAGTTTGGTTGGTTTGGTAGTGGAGTTTATGAATGACAGGCAAGTGAATGGACTTCTGCTGAAAACTCAACTAAGCTGCCCGTTATTTTCGATCAGTCTAAATTTTGTTTTGCAGAAGTTATCTTTTTGTTACAGAATTTTGGGGCAAGAATTATATCACTTGTGTTCTTTACATTGCCAAACACATTATCATGGCATTTAGATAGATTTCACCAGACTTCTATTACCACTGACCCACCCCTTTCTTTGTATGTAGCCCTATCAAAATCGTTTGAAATGTCTAGGAATAATTTTTCAAGTATTTGGATTGACGAAAGTAAAAATGCAGCTTAATGAAAGTATGTAGTCTGCAGTTCCAGAAAAGCTGCTTTTTTTTTTTTTTTTTTTAAATCTTCAAGCATCCTCTATTGACCATCTGACCATAATCTCAAAACTCTTCCTCTTAGGTCTACTTTGCAGTCATTTCTTTTCATTGTGTACAATAGATGTAACGATCTTTTCTTCTGGGCTAATTGTTTTTTAAGGGTAAGAAGAGCTGGATTGTTCTTCTATTTAACATTCAGAACAGGCAAAGAAGAGTGGATGGAAGTTGCATCTACTCTCTGGCCGGGTAAATAGTAGTAAGGGCAGTCATTCCTCTGTTTAGTGCTCAAGGGCAATACACAGAAATCCTTTCATTGATTCAATTTATGAGAAGATTTAAAAGCAAGAGAATAATTTGAAATTTTATGGGAATGTGTAATATATCAGGTTTATGTTGCATTTACCTGCAGTGAAGTGGAGAATTCAGAGATAAAATGTAACCCTTAACGTTTTCTTTGAGCCTTGAAGTTTTATACTCTTCAAGGTTTAAGACAGACTCCTAGCTTAATATAGCGAATTGCATTATAGAAAAACATCAGGTGCTGGCTTTGATCTGTATGATGCCTCCAAACAGGAAAGTGTCTTTAGAAAATAGTTATTTGGGTACATAACTGAGAGTATTCTAATGATTTAAGAAGAACTCTCTCACGTGCTTATTTTTGATGTTTATTCGGGCTTATGCTGTTTTGATAGCTTTGTGTTTGGTTCGTTGCGTTTCGGTTTACACGGTGGTGCCTGTCGCAGACTTGAATGGAGGTGCTAGCGGTGCCTGGGCCGGCGGCTGCGCTGTGTCCAGCACCGACCTGCCAGGCCTGCTGGCACGGCTCCTGGCACAGTCACCAGCCAGCATCATATTTATATCATGTTCTCACCAACACAGGGTTGAAATCTTTCTGCGCCAGGACTACCTTCCAAAGTTGTGGTAAGGGTGAAGGGCCCATAGTTTGGATACTACACTACGTGAGCTAAATGATCTGCAGGGGTTTCCTGGAAAGATAATCCAGCCTGGTTCCTGCCACTCAGCCAAAGGGAAACATGCCAACTCTGTATGAGTCGGAGTGGGGTTTTTTAGGGGAGAGGGAGAGTGTACTTTCCACAAAAATTACATAGCCATCCCGCTCCTGACATCGTGTCTGAGAGTTAGAGTGTGTTAGCAGGGTTCTGCAAGGTTTGTGTATTTAAATAGACAATTGATCCTACTAATCAGAATATTTATCTGAGTTAGTGTTATTTTATAAACACATGTACTTATTGATGGTTAGGGCAAAATACTACTGCTGCTGTTAACATTTGTTGCTGTTCTCAATGCAGTTGCTTTTTTCACTTAGCCGCGATTGAAATTACATTTCAAGTGGTTCAGTGAAATTGCAGACTTGTATTAAGAGTTAGGATGTGGATACGTGATCCAGAACTGTCTTTCAATCATTTAAACAAATTGTGAATTTTAAACCACCATAATGAAGGCTACAAATAATTTTTTTTTGCTTCGTCATGTGACCAAAAGCAACCTTCAGGAAGGATGTTGAAACTAAAGCATAGCAGCGAATCTGATGCTTGGTGATAAGCAAAACTTCAGCGTGAGATCTAGAGGCCAGTGAAGCTTTGATATTTGTCACAGTTCTAGTGCGTGCTTATTAAAACTACACATGATGTTCTCCGTCATACTAGATGAACAAACTTGAATCTTAATTGTTGCTATAAAAGGCAATGATAAGGTGAGCTAAAAGGAGATGCCTATGGTGCAACACCTGTACATGTAAAGCTAATACGTGATAAAGTACTACTACCTATAATTTCCTGGGATGCATTTCACAGTTAGCTGTCTGCATTAAAAACACATGAAGCAGCGAAGTGAAATATCAATGATATATGTGTAAATAAATCACTCTGGTTTTCAGAGGTAATGAAGACCCCAGCTGCACATCAGTGCATTAGTTGTTTTTACAATCCAGAGTGTCATCAGTTTTGATAAGCTTAATTTTCATAGTGTCAAGAAATAGTGATATGTGTTAAAAATCATTATCTTTGTCATGCTTTCCTCCTTCAACTGAGAATTATATCTTTTTATTTGTATATAAACTTATATTTTTATTCATTTTAGACAAGCTCTATATGGGACCAGGGCAACTGTACCATGATCTGCAGAACCTTTTACATGACTTGAATGTAGTTGGTCAAATTAGTCAATTAATAAGCAGCCTTAAAGGAAACTATCAGGTAATAAAGAAAGCTGGATTTATTTTTCAAATATGTTCCTGTTGTAAAGTAACATAATTGTCTCTCCTTAAGGTCCGTGAAAGACATTTTTTAATTCTCTCTTTAAAGAGTGTAATAATTTTTACCTCTAGTAATTAAATTACTGTTAACTGTTTAGCATTATAAGTAGATTACAGCAGTCTTTCTAATCTTGTTTTTCTTTATTGTTTTTAAGTGTAGGTGGATACTACAAGTGTCTGCATTTCCCAGTAGCTGATAAGCTTATATGGAAACAGAATTAAATTTTGATCTTAAGAAACTGGATTCTTGCAGTTAGACAAGGTAGTAGGAGGCTGGTTGGTTGGAGGAAGCTCTTGATGCCCATCCGAGCTCATAATCCTAGCTTTTGGGGGGAGCTGTGCTTCAAACTGAGTGCAAATCACAAAAATATAAAAGGATTTTCAGAGAAATTTTGAAAGTAATTTGCTTTGGCTTTGTTTACATGCCTTTTAGCTTATATTCTGGCAAGCAGATGTAGTACTTTAACACCAAATTTCAGAATTAGTTTTCCAGTCTTAAGACTTAAAAAAAAAATGCTTTTTTTGCTTTTGTTTTATATGCTTTATATGTTGCTTAGGCACAATTTTTAACTCCTACCTGCCACCACAGGCTGTAAATATATATGAGTGTGTGTTAATATGCATATGAACGCTGAGTTTCTCTTGGAATATCTTGCCTTCAGAGTCAATGGCATTAAATAAAACATAACGTTTTATGAAAATATGTACTGTGAAGGAAGTTTATGGAAACAGTACTTTTGGACAAAATTTCACAGGTATTTGAAGGTGAATTTCAGCTGCATTATTGGGAATACATATAGCACAGATACCATAAGACATTCGCCCATTAAGATATACAAAACCTTTCTGCTTGTACTGCCAGTCAGAGCCGACTACATTTTGAAAACTTAAAATTCAGTCAATATTTTCAAGTAGAGATCTGTGTAAGATAATTAGAGCGGTTCAGGTGAGGAATGAGGTCAACTTTTCTACTTTTGGAAAAGACTTCAATTTTCATAAAATTCTGACTGTGGAAAATTAGTGTAATTTTATGTATGATTACTCATTACTATTGGTGCTTTAAGTGTCACTCAGGTGTGCATTTACCCTCTGTGACCAAACACTCAGCTTGCAGGGGGTTATTGTTTCATCATTCTACTTAAAACAGATTTCAACCACACAGACAGCTTTCATGATGGCTCTGTAAACATTTTTGCTCAAAGATATGAACAAAAACATATTGCCAGTATAATTTATAGATATTTTCATGAGATTTTCTTTAGAAACAGAATTGTGAGTTCTGTAGAACTAATAGAAACAAAATAAAAGGGTTGTGTGTACACCTGATGTGTATTTACATTTCTTAATCTGACACACTCTTGGGAATGTCATTTGTGTATCATCAAGCTCTGAGCAATGTGAGATTAATTCATCAGATAGAATATGCTAGCAAATTTTTTACAGATGTTTTTGAAATGTGTTTACAAATATGGCTAAATTATCCATGATTAAAATGTGGACTAAATGAGGCCCAGGTGCCAGGAATTGTTTGTTATATGCAGAGATCACCTTAGCCTGTTGGAAATAGGCCAGCAGGCTGGCGTTGAATCTTAGCTTTTTTAATTTTTCAGAACTTAAACCAATCTGTAGCCCATGACTGGACCTCAGGTTTACAAAAACTGATTTTGAAAAAAGAAGATGAAATCAGAGCCGCAGATCGCTGTAGAATTCAGCTGCAACTCCCAGGAAAACAGGACAAGTCAGTAGTAATCTTGATTACAAAACTTTCTAAATGGGTTTATGTATTAGGCAGAGATGTACCAGGGAGGATTTGGGAATCTGTAGCTCTTCCCCCTCTTGTCTCCACCGTTAGCTTCTGACTTCTCCTCTCATGCACAATGCTGGGAACTTGCATGTTCCAGGGCAGCACTGTAGCTTTTCTCTCTTTCCTCAACCCTGCATTCCAGATGCAAGAAGCAAGAGAGGAACCATGGCAGTGACAGTTAATAGGGAGCAGCCACCGTTATATTCCTTCACCAAGGATGGTGTTCTTCTGGTACCATTTCATGTAAAGACTAGGAAGATGGGTGTATGGCATATCATAGCCTGCATGCTTATATTGGGGCTGTGTCTTTGTCTAAGTGTTAGAAAATAATGATACTTCATCTTGCTCAACCTTTCTAGCCTTGACTGTATTTCATACTCAGTGCATTTAGAGTGGCTCTTTTTTTTGTCTTGCAGGTCTGGGCGGCCCACTTTCTTTACAGCTGTGTTCAATACATTTACCCCTGCCATCAAACAGTCTTGGATCAACAATTTACAAATGGCTAAACTGGCCCTTGGTAATCCTTAGTTACTTAAATTTCCTATCAAGTTAAGATAACTCTCAATGTACAGTGTAATTTTTTTATTTTTTTTTTTTATAAAACAAGTTTTTTTTGTGAAAACCTATCTGCAGATGTTAAAATTGTAATACAGTAAATAGTAGTGATAGTGTATCACTATGAAGTAATGATGTTATAGATAGGATGGGGGTCTCAGTATGAAGGAATGTAATTTCTACAGTTTTAATGAAGCCTGTACTAGTCATTACTAGTTGTTATACCTAAATCAACAAGAATGAAATATGCTACAGAACACACAGGTGAGAAAGTTGTTCCATTATAAACATATTTATTATGAACTCTTTAAACTATGAACTTCAGGTTCAGATTTCTCAGTTTCAGCTCAGAATGATTTTATCTAGGAAATCAGTAAAGCTGTTGAGTATGTTTGTTTAGTTTTCTGAGTATGAAATAAACCTATGGTGTAGTTTTAATATAATGCAGTATTTTTACAGTTGGATATGTAAAACTCACGTTATTTGGGGGGATGTTTGTTTGTTTTTTATCATAAATCTGTAGTCTTCACTGGAGGGATTATCACAAACAAACCTGATCTAAGTGGGAGCAATAAAGTGCTGTCTGGTGATGTGATTAGTCTTCTGAGTTTTCACAGGGGATATAGATACAAGATACCTGGAATTTTGAATGCCTAAGTTGAGAACCACTGATGATATGCGCTTGCTAGAAAGCAAGTTTCACCAGCACATCCTCAGAATCCAGTGCTTTTATGGTATTTTCCTGAAGGCAGGCAAAATAACAAACCCAGAAAGGAGAATGGATGTCTCCATCATTCCAGGAGGAAGATCCTTATCATTATGATGGGTAGTAGTTGATAGTGATGTCACTTACACAGGCAGAGAAATGCTGTTTGCAAAAAAGATTTCCTGGAGTCTGAGGAGAGGTTTGATATGCCCTTTCCTCTTTTAATAACCTATCAACAAGATCATTAAGCCAACACCCTTAACATTTTGCTAGAGTAAAGCATGTTATCTATCATATTGAATTTTTGCTCATAGTTTTATGTTGTCATGTATGCATATATGACGTAAGAACAGCCTGATCAGTATTAACCAATCCTAACAGAATTTTCTTCTATTCCTGTAGAGAGGTGTAAGTGATTATTCAGTGAAAGTATTATGGGATGTTTATTGTTCTTTCCATTACAGCTGAAGATAACCTGTTAGGTTGGTTCTGTGTAGAAGATGATGGGAATCAAATCAAAAAGGAGAAACATCCTCTCCTTGTTAGACACATGCCAGTGATGATGGCCAAGCAGCAAGAGTTTAAGGTGAATAGAATTTTTATATGAGATTACAGTTGCTCTTCTTGTGTGATATAATTGCTAAAGAGTACAGTATTGTAAATACATCTATTAGTTCTCTTGAGTTACTACCTTGGTGTAAGACCGGTAGCAATGGAAGGCCCAAGAGAGGGTCACAGGAATGCAAAATACTGCAATCTTTCAGGCACTAAAGAACATAGTGTTTACTTTTATGTAGTATGGCATTTACTTTCAAATGTAAATTCATCACTCCATGAAAACAGAACTGCTGAGAATTTTGAATTGGTCTTGAGGTTTCCAAGTGTTTGTTTGAGGCTCCAAAGTAATCTGCAGCTTACAAAGTGCAGGAATCTGAGCTTCATGATAGCTGTCCTGTTGAATCCTCCTCAACTTTATGATTTTCATTAGTGCACAGAGAGCAATAGTTTTCAAATAATTTTTAAAATTCAGTTTTGTGGCATCTTACATAAAATGTAGTTCTGTTCTGAATGTAGTTCCGTTCTGAACAATGATACAGAACTCATCTTACTGGTTTGTTTCCTAAAGTAATATGTCAGTTTGAAGTCATATTGACCACTGACAGCATGTCCAGACTGACAGATGGAAGGGAAAGGTGCTGGATACTATTTTTTCCTACACAGAAACAGGATTTCTTATTGACCATTAGCCAGTTAGGCTTGTGCAAAAACACTAATGGAAATTCAATTGTATATGTGTGAACAGAACGCCAGTATTAAATTAACATCATTGTGTGGGTACTGCTTGAAGCACTAAGTCTGCTAGGACAGCTTACACAGGAGGGAAGTTCAGCTGGCAGCTTCATGTCCAGTGTGAGTATACAGGTGTGGGTGTTGGGGGAGAATAATTGGTAAAATCAAGCCGTTCCTAAGATACTGTTTTTCAGAGCAGAGCTGCGGTCTACAGCAGCCAAGTCTATTGAAAGTCTCCAGTCTCCACTACAGCCATAGTCATTCTTTGTCTTATTAAACAGTCAGCTTTTTCAGTATTGAATAATTTCTGAAGTCACCACTGGTGAAATAACCAAGCTAATTTAATTTTTGTCAGAAACTTAAAATATTTATGTTTCTTTAGAGTTTATGCTTTTGTAAGTCCTGTAGGTCCATGCCAGGAGTCTTGAAGGCCCAGGCTCAACTCCTGTAATGAAGTTACAACAGGATCTGCTTGTTTTGAAACAAAAGGAAAGTCTGTTGCCCATACAGTTGGGTGATGGTCTTGGCCTTTGTCACCCCGGGAACACAGTGTGTGGCAGTATTTGCCCGAGCTCTGGGTCAATTTTACTGGTTTTGCAGCTCCTAAAGATAATGTGGACGTGAGCCCAGCTGTCATGCCTGATGCTCCTTAAGTCCTCGATATTACTGGAAAAGATGATCTAAGTATTACTGGTGGTTTTCTGCAGCCTCAGCTGCAGTTTGGGTGTCAGGCCACAGCTTGGGTTGGGAAGAGACCCTTTGCTTGGCTGATCCTGCTTGTTACCTCTCTGCGTGCTGCTCAGGCTGCCCAGTGCTGTGGGCAGCCTGTAACAACTTCACCCATCAGAGCAGTTTACACCCCAGGCAAAGGGCTTCTGTCAAGATTGAGAGCTAAACTACCAGGATTTAACTACGGAAAAACATAATCGGTTTTGACTAAGATAGGTAGTAACACAGAGGCATAACAAGCAGCCAGAGAAATATCCAGCATTCACCCTGTCTTCTCTTTAACTAGTGATGTATTTAGCTGTCACAGCTACTGTGAATCCCCACTACAAGTAGATAGCTTCAGCATGTGTTAAATGAGACATGCTAAGATTGTCATGGATAGCTCTTTTTTTAATTGTTTTTTTCTTTCATCTATCACTTTCCATCTTTTATCCTTATAGTGAATTGTTTTTATGATACATAACATTATTCTTAATACAGCTAATCACTTGGTGATACCTGCTGACTTCAGGGAGATCTGTGAAATTCTTTGCACGCTTGAAAATTAAGTAAACTCTAACTTATGCCTGCTCATTCACTACTTTGTTTGTTTGTTTAATTCTTCACTATTGGGAGGTGATGTTGTCAGGTTATGGTGAAGTTGTCTAAGTCAATACCAACCAAATTGTCTCCAGTGCTGCAATATAATCACAATGACATTGATGTCTGAGATGAGAGCACGTGACTTATAGACAGTCTTGTCTAAAATGTAGTATCACACCTCATCAGAAACCTTTTTATTCTCTACATGGTTATAAATTTCTTGTATATATTACAGAGTGTTTACATAAGCTTTAGGGAGCTCTGCCATGGATATTAGGGAAATTAGGGAGAACAGAAATCCATGACTGCTCATAAAAATGCCTGTTTTCAGAACCTTGGTACTTGAATGATTTTTAGTTTGGGATGGAGTTAAACCAGACTCAAGATCTGTATTTAGCTTTCAGGTTTTTCTTAAATGGTCCACATGATAATATCATGAGTATGGTTATTAGTTTACTGACAGTAACATGGTGACATGAAGTTAGAAGAGAGTAGGAGTATTACGGATGATAGCATTAGCATTCAAAATGAGTAAAGCACTTGGACAAATATTTTGAGGGGAAAAAAGAAAAAAAAAAGGGATGACAGTAGGACAGACACATGGTATGCTCAGGCAGAAGTAAAGAGTTTCACAAGTACAGACTGAGGAGGTGGTTGAGTAGAAGGTCTGTAAAAATTATTTTTAATAGACCAGCAAGATAAGGGTTGATTAAGAATGTAATATTGTTAAAAAGAGCAAACAATCAATGGAACGTGTGCAAACAGGCTTCAGAAGAGGTAATCATGATGTAGTGCTGTTAACAGCTCTGTTAGAATAGCATGTTCAGGTGAGAAGGTTCTGCACTCTCAAATATATAAAGCTGATATATCTGCTGGAGAGATACCATTTGGAAAAAATATAAAAACTTTAAAAACAATAATTTTAAAAATAAGTTATTTTTTAAATTTTTATTTTTAATTAAGTGATAATGTTAATTTTTTAGCCTAATGAAGAGGAGACTCAGGCAGGGTCATGACATATGTCAGCCTTATATGTAAAAGGATACTGTAGCAGAGGTACCTGGTAGCTGTGATGGGAAGTAACAGACTAACAGTTACAGCAAAGATGATGTTAAGTTGGGTATTTGGAAAAACTTAATGAAGACCCTGAAGCATTTGAGCAGATCAAGTAGAGAATTTGTAGTCTTTGGCCTTTAATGTCCGTAAGAGTAGACAAGGAATGTGTCAAGAACAACACGCAAGCAGCTGACTCTGCCCACGGGAAGCTGGATGGACTAAACTGACTTCTTGCCTTCTGTGATTCGTTGATATCCTTAAATGCATTAGTTAATTACAGGCTAAACTAAGCAGGAACAGGCATATCATTTTAATGTGATAACTACTGCCTTTTCCTTTGAAGATTGAATGTGCTGCTTATAATCCTGAACCATACCTCTCTGGTGAAACGGAGTCAGATTCTTGTGCCATGGAACATGGTTTTCTTTGGGTAAGTGTAATCTTTAAAAGCTACAAAAGGGTTGTCTCCGGTTTCTCTGCATTTTTTATGACTCTCAGCAACATATGGATCTGAAATAAATTTCAGGGTTTTTTTTCTCTCTTTTTTTTTTTGTTTGCTTGTTTTAAGATGGACTTATATAAAGGATAGGTAGTAATTTTGTCCATGTGATCTCTGTTCTCTGGAGGGTGCCTCTTATGTGTGTGAGATTTCTTATTGCAGCACAGAATGAATTCCAAAGTGCTGAACCTATTCAGAAGTGAGTTATGTGCTAATTTATAATGAGGGCTGCTAAAACCCATATGAGCTCACACTATCCTATTGTCTGTTTCCATATTTTAAAACTATTTTAGCCATAAATAATCTGTTTAAGTCTGTACATAGGGAAAAAAAATACTCTGGCATATTGTTATGACTCCAAATATACAGATATTCCAGCAGACTAAGTAAGATAGCCAACACTTTAACTGCCTTTTTTTTTTTTAATGATTTCAGTAGCTTTTCTTGTTATTATAGTACTGAGATTTTAAGGGAACCCTTGTGAATTAAAAGTAGAAGTTAGAAATAGCTTTTGTCAGTGGTCTTTTTCAAGGTGACCCATATAATTTCTTTTTGTCTATGCTATTTGTAAACAGTCATCACAAATATATGCCAATAAAATCTTTCTACTGACACAAAATATTTTTCTTTGCTATGTTTTTAAATACCATATAAACATAGAGTTACTGTATAAAAACACTTACTGCTTCTTGGGCAGACTGTGATTTTTTTTTTTACTGCTCCCAGATTCCTAAAGTGTACAGATTTGTGGACATATTCATGATACTTAGTTCTGGATCTGGGATAAATTTAGGATCCTGGATCAGAAAGTTTACAAAAGGGTTTATGTTAATAATCCCTCTTTCTGTTGGGGCAGAGCATTTATTCGTAGACCTGTTACTGTGCAAAGGACAAGCCTCATCTGTATGACCTTTTTTAAGAGAATCTGAGATAACTTAAAACACTGCTTATTAAAATAATATATTACACAGGTACTTACTGTAATTGCATTGCAGTTATGAGTCAGACATCAAAATAGGCCATAATATTCCTCCTTTTCAAAAAGAATGACCTGCTTTTGTGAGAGTACAAGGGAATTTTGTGTATATAATGTTTTTGAAATCTCTTGTATTTGTGCTGAATTATTTTCTTGTTTATGTCTTAATGCATAAGAACTCATATTCACAAATATAACTTGTGATGCACTCTTCAGTTAACATTCCAGTCATTTCTTCTCGTTATTGCTGATCTTCCTGGAGACAGGTATCAGTCTTAGTATTTTTTTCCCTTTCCTCTTTCCAATTCAGATTGGCAGTTGCACTAATCAGATGGGCCAAATTGCAATAGTCTCATTTCAAAGCTCCAGCCCCAAGGTTATTGAATGTTTCAATGTGGAATCACGGATTCTCTGCATGGTCTACATACCAGAGGAGGAGAAACTGAAAGAGCAAAATAAGACTCTTGACTCTGAAAATGTTCTTGCAAAAACTTCTAATGTGCCTACTATTTGCCTTGGCATGGAAGAAGGAAGGTGATTCTCTTTTTAGTGTACTGTGTATGATTCATTCATTGAGTTCACTATTCTATAGCAAAACTGCGTGAAATACTTCCAAGAAAATGTTTTATATTTTAAAAAGTATCCATGCGATATCCCAGTGACCTCAACTTATGCTTTCCACCTAAATCAAGATAAAAATACACTCTCTGTGATTTTAAAATACACTATGTAGTATTTGAAATGAAAATAAGATGTGTCTTTTATGAAAAGAGGATTAATTCATCATACATCATGTCTGAAAAATATAAATGTTACAACATAATCTTTAGGTATTGAAAAACTTTCAGAATGACAGTGTTAATCAGAAACCCATTAACCTTCTCCACTCTGATATTGTGCAGGATTTGCCATGCAAATAAATAATATTGCTGTTTACTATTGACATGAATTAGTTTGCTCTGTTTGAACTGATAACCTTACTGAGTCAAAACTTGCTGCATCACTAAGAACAAAGCTACATTTTCTAAACTTATACGTCAGTAAGCAAACATCTTGTTACAGCTAGTGAGGGCATATGTATCTACATGTGACTGTTGAAGGTGTTTCTAACCAGTATAAATGAAAGAGGACAAAATTCTCTGAAGGAAATGCTAAGTTTCCAGAAATTCCAACATCTAATTGTACTGATTATCTTTGCTTGTGAAGTTCAATTAATTACAGATTTAACTATTCAATATTCCTAACATACCCATGGTAATAATCTGTAGTAATGGTGGAAATTTTAAGTGTAATTGATGTCTAGTAGTGAGTTTTTCTTCTTTTGTTCTCCAGGTAGTACTTAATCCAATATTTCTTTTAAATTAATAGAAACTTTTGTATAGACTCATAATAAGGACTTTGAGCAGTATTTTTGTTATGTCTCTTTGTTGAATAAATGTTTCTCCAGCCAAGATAATATGAAAAGTGTCATATGTCAATGTTAAGTAGTTGCAAATTGTCTACATAGACATTTTGGAGGGTCAAGAATACTCCTTTCCTTACTCATCTTCCTGTGAATGAAAGGAGAAAATATTTTTTTACCCCCAGTATTTTATTCTAAAGCTCTTTTGTGCATACTCTAATAAGAACTAAATAAAACCTAATTTCACTTATTTATTTTTTCTTGCTTCTTTTTATAGCATTTCTGTTTACAAAAGTTGCCAAGGCTCGAAGAAAATACGACTTCAGCACTTCTTCACTCCTGAAAAATCAACTGTTATGAGCTTAACATATATGTCTCAATACTTGTTTGCTGGCTTGGTAAATGGAAACATCTCAATCTACACAAAAGCAGAAGGTAATGTAGCGAAATGATTTGATAACATCCTGAGGAACTTGCATGTCAGTATATTTTGGCAGGAATAGTTTTCCACTATTATATTTTCCAAAATGTATCTGTAAAACTTCTGAACTAAGGTTACTACACTTTTTCAGTACTTCTGAAAAGACTTGTTTTCTCTTTTTGAAGGATAGTGGAAACTTTGATAGTGTTCCCACTTTACCATACAATACATACGAAAACTAATTTGTGCCCCTTAGCTTAAACCCTAAGGTCTTCAGTGTTACAAGTGTCCAGAAGTTTGTGATAACAGCCAGTATACTGTATTTTACACAGCACAGTGCTAATTCCACTGAACTACCCAGTATTGGTGTTTATAGAGGACAAAAATTCACTATTGTTAGAGATTCCTGTATAGCTCATTTGAAATGACAACTCCATTTTTACTGTACAGATAGGAGAAGTCTTTCCTATGTGTGTGGCTCGTATTTCACAGTAAGACTCCTTTTCCCATTAGCATCACAGCTGGTTGTTTTGTATCTAGCAAAGTAATTGGCTAGAATAATTGGAGTAAAGGAGAATCCCAGGTAATACTTCTGAACCCGAACTGTCTTCTCCAGAGTTGGTTTGGGTGCTGCTCTGTGTAGTTCCTGTACATCTCACTACCCTTCCTGCAGTATTGCACATCTACATAGCTAGTTCAGTTCAAAATCAGTGGGGCTTTACTCAGAGTTTGAATCAGGAGTTTTAAGTTAGCACAGAGGCACCTAACCTTGCAAAGTACAGAGCCAGCAGAGATCTGGTGTACCTTATTAGTGTGAGCTGCATAACGATGGTTGTCATACTTCTCTAATGAGGTGGGCCCTGTAAACAGTGCAGTTGCATTTGTGTGGCACTGTACCTCGCCTAGGAAATCCTGCCAGTCTCTCGCCGAGGAGCCACAGTCAGTATCTTGAATCTTGGAACAAATTATATGTCCAGTGTTAGATCATATAAAGACTTAGTTCTGTAAAGGTACAGGATGCATTTTATTTTTTTTCCAAGCAACAAAATATTTGAAAAAAAGTGTTGGGAAAGAGATTTCCTTTCACCAGTTATCATCTTCGAACCAGTGGGTTTCCTGTTGAGCTGTCGTCTCTGATCTGATGCCAGGCATTAGATTTTAGTTCCCTTTAAAGAAATCTTTTTTACCACTGAATAACAAATTTTTCTTTGTTTTGGAAGCACAGGAATGAGGCCTTAATTCTAGTGTTATGACATAGTTTTTGATGTTTCAGTTTCTGTATGTAGCTGGCTGTGGTAAGTCAAGTGAATCTGTCACTTTCTCTGAAGGGGATTGGTGTATTTAAGCTGTTTCAAGACTTCAGTTGCTGTCACTCAACTTCTTCTGGAAAAAAACATTTCTAAATCATGAGTGGCATCCTTGGTAGTACAGGTAAGAAAGGATGCATGGGTTGCATATCTACAGAGGAAGGTAAGGACAAGGCAGAGCTGTTAACCAGACTGAAATACATTATGAGCTGGAGCTTATGTTGTACTGACCAGGATCATAGCATGCCCTGTCTATCTTCCTCTGAAGATACCAGTTTTGCGCAGCTATTCTTAGAGCCTGTCAGAGTCTATTTCAGGATCACTGAAGCTCTGAGGTGGGAAATGCGCGGTCGTGTTTACCTGACTCATCTTGTAGTCCCTTTCCTTCCAGTTTGGCCTCTGTGTGTGATTTCAGATCTCCGTGCCTTGTGAAGGTTGTGCGAATCAGCTGCTCCCATGTTAGCCTTCGTATTCCTCATAGTTGGCTGCTGTGGTCATGTGAGGCAGTCAGCCCTGGAGGGCTGTTTTTATGAGCGCTGACCTATTTTACCAAACAAAGGAATTCAAGCGGTGAAACAAAAGGGAGGGGGAATGCAGCCTCCCAAAGAGCTTTGTGCAATTCATTGGGGTCACCTTCTGTTCTACAGAGCAGGTTACTTTCCAGCCATGAACTTCAACTTGGGTTTTGGTCTACCAGCATAAAGGAGATTAAGGAAAGATTTAAAAGGGAACATGAAATATGGTCACTGTATTACAAGGCATCTTAATTTGAAGCCTGAAAAGGACAAATGCTATGGGATGCACACCTAAATGATTGTGCAGCCTGTTGTGGGACTCCATGAATGAAAAGGGGTAATCTTTCTTCTAGGGTGAAAGTCCACCTTGCAGTCTCTGTTAGAGTTGTGAGCCTTGTGTCCATCTCTCTGGGCAGAAAGTGTAGTGGATCAGTTCAGTCACAGAAGCTCAATATCTTAATGTATATAGTCAAAGACCCACAACTTCTGTTCTTCAGTTTTCAGTACCCAAATAGCTCTAATTTCTCCTGTTGTTTTCAGGTGGCTCAATGCATGTATATATCCAGCTTATTTACAAACAGCAGGTGCTCTCTTCTGACTTACTTCACAAGAGAACTTTGTCAGATCAACAGCATCCAGAGTGCCCTCTGGCTGCAGAAAGTCTTGTCCTGAAGTAATTGAAAATGGAAACTAAGAAGTATGTATAGTAAACCGAGGAATGCATGCCATGTTGGAGAGTTGAAGGTGCACTGTGAGATTTCTGCCTTTATTGGAGGGTAGTCATGTTTTACTGAGACACCTCTGTATCTGTGTATTTTAACTTATGAGTTAAAAAGCACTTAAGCCTGAATGTATTTGAACATAAATTAAAAGCAAAGTCAATGAGGTGCTGATATAATAAAATCTACTGAGTTCTTAAATTTGAGCTAACGTAGTGATCTGTGAAAATGTCACAGAAAGACTATGATGTAGGTCAGCTAATAAGTTAGCTGTAAAATTAGGAGCCCTGATAATTATCCTCAATAATCCTTACTTCTATGTGGGTGAGAAGACTAGTTTGGGGAACCATGAAACAGCTAGTGCATTAAATGCATTTATATGTAGGAATGGTAGTGATGCAGATTGTAAAGTTTCTGACACCTTGTGTGGTGGGAACTTGTTTACAGTGCTGTTAACTTTTGCACAGTTATCAGTCTGAAATGTTGTGTATTTAGTGTTTGCCTCAGGCTGAATTATTAGGAATATTTCCAGGCAAAACACTTCTAGATGAGGTTAAGGAAAAAGTACATTGTACTGTCTTTGTTTAAAAAACATAACAAAACCCCTTTTTGATGATTGCAGACGGCCCAGCAGATGTGTTTTCTGAGTGATGTAATAGACAAAAAGGTCAGTGTGTGTTTGACTTCCATTCACAAAAGTATCTCAGGAAAGGGAAGTCACAATCTTTATATAATATAGGTGTATTGTTCCTGATATACTGTAGTCAGTTCCAGCTACTTCCTTTCTTCTAGACATTGATACACATTTCCTTTCCATAAAGTCCTGTAAAGAGTATGGAGAGAAACAGGAAAAAGAAAATAAAAACTCAAAACGATTGTGGCAAAGAGTAGAAGAATTAATATATTAGTAGTTTCAGAAGGAGTTTGTTTAAGGTGAGAGAATAGATGAACAAAAAAGTCATGCTGCTTTGATTGTGGTGGCCATCCTTTCGGCACATGATTGGTATGTGTAGCCTCACTCATGTATACAGCACCTACAGTGAGCTCTTGCACGCACACTCCTAGAATTAAATGGACAGTGCTTAACATGCTCAGTGATCCTTCCCCTCTGCTCAGCATTGGTGAGGCCACACTTGGAGGGTTGGGACCAGTTTCTGGGCTCCTCAGTACGAGAGAGACATGGACATGCTGGAGAGAGTCCAGCACAGGGCCATTCAGATGAAAGGACTGGAGCATCTCTCCTGTGAGGAAAGATTGAGAGAGCTGGGACTGTTCAGCTTGGAGAAGGGAAGGCTCAGGGGGGATCTCATCAATGTCTGTAAATATCTGAAGGGAGGGTGGAAAGAGGATGGAGCCAAGCTCTTTTCAGTGATGCCCAGTGAGAGGACCAGAGGCAATGGGCACAAACTGAAACACAAGAGGTTCCCTCTGAACATCAGGAAACACTTTTTACTGTGAGGGTGACTGAGCACTGGAATATCTTGTCCAGAGAGGTTGTGAAGCCTCCAAGAAAAGCTCAACTTTGAGGATTGCAGTTGAGTGTGAAACGAGAACAACAGCTGAGGCAATTCTGGCCATGCACATAACAGCAGTTTGCATTCTTCAGAGAGACTTCACTAGTTAAAATTTAGACAGCTCTGAATTGGTCAAGAGTTTTTACAACTTACCTGTCCAAAGAAGCTTTATGACATTAATCAGTGATCATTTTCAGAGGGTTAATATTGAGGAAAAGAACCAAAACTGAATCATATCATCGAATGGTTTGGGTTGAAAAGGACCTTAAAGATCATCTAGTCCTGCCATGGGCAGGGACACCTTCCACTAGACCAGGTTGCTCAAAGCCCCGTCCAACTTGGACTTGATACTTCCACCGAGGGGCATCCACAACGTCTCTGGGAAACCTGTTCCAGGGCCTCACCGCCCTCACCATGAAGAATGTCTTCCTTACATCTAAACTAAATCTTCCTTCTTTCAGTTTAAAGCCATTACACCTTGTCCTATCACTACATGCCCTTGTCAAAAGTCCCTCTCCATCTTTCCAATAGGCCCCCTTTAGGTACTGGAAGGCTGCTGTAAGGTGTCCCTGGAGCCTTCTCTTCTCCAAGCTGAACAAGTTCAACTGTCTTCATAAGGGAGGTGCTCCAATCCTCTAGTCATCTTCATGGCCCTTCTCTGGACTCGCTCGAGCAGGTCCATGTCCTCCTTATGTTGGGGGCCCCAGAGCTGAACACGGTACTCCAGATGTGGGGTCTCATGAGAGAGGAGTAGAGGGGGAGAATCACCTCTCTTGACCTGCTGGTCACAGTTCTGTTGATGCAGTCCAGGATACTGTTGGCTTTCTGGGCTGCCAGCACACATTGCTGGCTTATGTTGAGCTTCTCATCAACCAACACCCTGAAGTCCTTCTCTGCTGGGCTGCTCTTAACCCACTCATTGCCCAGCCTGTATTTGTGCTTGGGATTGCCCTGACCCA